CATTCTCGCACTCTTCCGGTCTGTAGCTTTGTTGTCCACTTAACCTTGATCATATGAACCACAGTCTTTGAAATTTTCAGGATGGAATTTACTTGACACTCACTGTATTCCCCTGCTAGTAAATCCAGAACCGAACTCTTCTTTTCATCACTCAAACGTTCTTCTCTTTTGACATGGCCATTAGTTATGTTTTTGATTCCAGCTATTTTTGAGGTACTATTAGCACTGTTTTTGCCATTCAGCTGGTCCTATTGCAACAGAATAGGTCTGCATACTGCAGTGATTTTTATACATTTCCTCATTAAATAAGACTTGGTTCAGATGATTACCTAATCATTACCTCAATAAGTAGAAAGAGGTGTGCTTGTGGTGGACTTCAAAAGGAATGGAATAGCCGCCATATACATAGAGATGCTAATTTAAGAAAGAAAATGGTGTGGTCTCTTAATTTTTCCCAGAAATTATTATATATAGTATTATAATATATAACAAATTCATTCTACTGCATGTTTATCCACTTAAATAGAATGGATAGGAAACATAGGGCAAATAAGTGTTCTAACATTTTTTAAATCTATTACAATAGTGAAGTAGTACATTTTCTCTCTGGAATTTATTTTAGATATATACACAGAGACTATGATTGACACAGTTGTATAACTCCTTTCTCTCAGCAGCACTTATTAAAGGGTTAATACTCAGCGACTCATTTCAAAAACACATCATGCTGTTTACATATCACTGATAGAAAAAAATGTAAAAAGAAAGAAATTTAAGTCTTTGACCCTTTAAGGACACGAGACAAAAATTGTCCTTCATGGTTCCCTTTTATTTCTGAACCTGTGTCCTTAAGGGGTTAAAGGTATTCTCAAATCAACAAGTACCGGGTGTTAATTGCATTCTTCCATTCATCTCTCACAAGGAAGAAATGTACTAATGATTTGCAAAACAAATATACCTAAATACTTGCATTCAATTTATTATTATTATTATTATTAATAATGCATTTTGTGTTGGTATTCTTTAGTTATTCCTTATATAATGCATTATTAGTTATTTTTCCCAATTGCGCAAATATGTCTACAAAACATATTGGCTGATGTCACATTTAAAATATAATAAGATGTCACAAATAAAATAAGTATTTATGGTTTTTGTTTTGCGTGATCTCATCTTTGCGCAAGTTAATTCACAATACCAATTGCAATTATTTTTTCAGTTGACTAGTGCATGCCTTCCAGAGAGTATTTCCCCTCCAATTTAGCAAAATGATATAGAACTACAATTCTCATGATGCTTTGCATGCTTTTAGAATGCTTTTAGAATCACAAAGCTTGATGGAAGTTGTAGGTTTAAAGAGCTGGCGATTTACCTTTTTGGGCTTCCATGCTCTAGAATATTGGATAATTTGTATAGTTTTCAGATTCACCATGCTTTGCTAGATATATATTACCGTACCATGTTTCAGGGAAGAACATGATCAGTGCTGCCAAGCAGTATATAAAATATATATTCTGTAGAATCACTTGATTATTCAATAAGCATCCAACTACGTATGTCTGAGTAGCTCTTTTCGAGAACTGCTCTGAAGCTTGTAGATATGTTCAGGGTTATTGACTGAATTAGTGGTAATTCAAAATGAATTAAATTAATTTAAACATTTTTAACCAAATCACATATATAAATTGGAAAAATTCTCTAGGTCTGCTACTATTTTCCATTTCGGTCTAAAATTCCAAATTTACTTTGAATTCATGACAATTCACGATTTAGTGAATAACTGTGGGATATGTGTCCAGAAAAACAAGGTGAATCTATCAACACAAGACATCTCTACATTGAAAGTCAGGTGGGATTTACGGCAGTTTCCAGGGCTGCTGGCAGTGTCTTCGTTCTCTGAGTTCCTAAGTTGCAGATCTGTTACCTCTGCTGTGTCAGCCAAATATCCTTCATTCAGCGGGATCTGCAGCCTCTCCTGTGAGGAGTCCCATGCAACAGTAGTCTGGCTCTGAGTGACAGATTGCATGGTCACCCCTGATGCCAGCCGGGACTCTGACGTAGGCAGCTGGAATCCACACTTCCATTCCGTAGGCCACACTCCCACCTGCCAGTCCAATCCTAGCAAGGAGACAGAGGGCTGCACCGCACAAAAAATGTCCAGCAAGTGTTTCTAATTTAACTCATCGTTAACATGTTTTCCACTATGCAGGCCTCACGGTAACATAAGTTGCAAAACATAGTGTAGTGACGGTTACTTTAATAGATTTATTGTAACGGTTTCTTTTCAAATTATTTTTATTAAACATTTTTTTAAAACATTTTTTAAACAAAGACAATAACTAAGAAAAAGAGAGAGAGAATTAAAAGGGGAAACATTTCCTCACCCACTACAATAAATATACACATGAGAAATAGTGCAGAGAACATTATAACAGATAATGTAAACAACCCGTAAATTATAAATTCAAAGACTGATTTTAAAACGAGCCCAATTTAATATTATACTAATTGACTCCAATCTTAATGAACAATAATCTCTTTTCTAACCATGAGTTTATTACGTGTTCCTGTACGGATGCCAGGTGGATTTGGGGGTCTATTTACTGAACTCCAAATTCTAATGAATCAAAATCCATTTTTCATGTTTAAGGCTAAAATATCTAATCTTCAAAAATTCTTCATTTACACTATTGTCTCAGTTTGCCTATTTTCTCGTTGTTCCATTAAGATTTGAATTAAATACGATTCAGAATTTTGTAAAAAATAAAATAAAAAAACAAACAAAAAAGCAAGAATAGACAAACAAAAAAAAAACAAAAACCCAACTTAGGTGGTCACGTATTTAAATTGTTACATTCACTTTGCTTGGATATTACCCATGATTTTTAGCAAGTCACTAGAAAATAAATCGAGTATTGCTTGACTTGTTTGAATATTACTTCCCGAAAATGAATCTTTGATTATTGAAGTGATTTCCTTCATTTCCTCCAGCATATTAGTATAGCATACCTGATATCCTAGGTGCATAGGTGTGCTCATAAGGTTGATTATTCCATACATCCCAATATTTCAAATGGACAAAGAGGGACACTTTAGGGGTAGAGGGAGGGGGTATCTGGCCAGGAGCGGGGCTATTCCGAAAAATGTTTTGTGACTTGTTGAGGATTTTTGCAGCTAAAATTTGAATTGGAGCAAGAACAATGTATCTTATATACATCTTATATTCAACATATTTATTGTAGTTTAAAGACACATTACTGGGAGTATTATTGCTGTGAAGTTCTGTTATACACTCAGACACACCAACAATATGGGGCTCCTAGAAAAAAAAAGAGGGACGGATTAAATTGGGCTCAAAATAAGGACTGTCGCTAATAAATAGGGACAATTGGGAGGCAATTATATCCCTTATACATCCAGGAATAAGGCCCTTGCAAGGGTCGCTACGGCATAATTTAACTCTACAAACACTAATCAGAATGTCTGATCTTGGACATCTGGAGTCAGGGCTTAGCTCATTAAAGCCAACAGTCTCTCCTGATCAGCAAGAGCTTCTGCCTCTCTAAAAATTATGAAATTATGGGGCTTTTGTGGTAAAAAGTGTCGTGCTCAGTTGAAGGATTTTTTTTCAGATGCTTTTCCTATTTTATGACCTTATTTGAGCGAAAATAAATTCTTTCTTCCATCTCTTTATTCAGGGTTTAACCCCTTAAGGACCTAACTTCTGGAATAAAAGGGAATCATGACATGTCACATATGTCATGTGTCCTTAAGGGGTTAAGGTGTCAATCTCAAATGAGGTGCAAGAGTCTACTAATTGTTCCGCCACGGTGAATATGGTGGAATGGTAGATTTTCTAAAACGTGTAATGAGCTTTCACCGTTTTATTTTTTTTGTTTTGTTTCAGGAATAAAAAAACAACTTCAAATTGCGAATGCAATCAGTGGTAAAATCATCAGGATTAAAATGAAAGAAGCAAAAAAATCCAAATGTAATGAAAAGTGGCAGAAGGACAAATTCTTTTAAGGTATTACAGAAAAGGTTAATGAAAGTCACCAATGTTTAAAGGTAGAGTCATTGTTTCATACACAAGCAGATCGCACACAAATCAGTCACAAATGTGAAATCAAATGCAACAATCTGTATACATAACCCCCATAGGATCTGGTAATCCATCCTAGATAAGAGATTGTGTTGCAGTCACAATAGTAGGAAGACTGACATAGCCAAGCAGAATAAAATATATTCTCTAGTGACTTCCTGAGTATCATGGGAATTATCTGATAAACATCACAAGACGTACAGTTCACACATAGTGCTAAAAATACCTTCTCATTGGTTATGCAAACTACGCTACTAGGCTTGGCTTTATAGTTCTTACATTCTTCACATAGAAGGATGATAAGCGAAATTCACAATTCTTTCTGTAACAAGTCTTTCAGACGAGGATAATATTTTAATTAACTTTAAAACAAAGTTCATAATCCCTATTTCTCACCTGCATAGCAGTGCACCCTACCTAATCGCCAGACTGCTGCTCTGTTCACAAGTAGAGGGACCAGAATTTTATTTTTAGTGTGTCTGTTGCAGCTCCAATCACGAGCGAAATCATTCCTACTGATTAGTTCCCAGTAAGGAGAAATGAAGAATACCTACATTAGCATTAACTTTCGTTGTAAAACCATTGCACCCAGCTATTATACCGTTGGCTCATTGGAGTTTTTTTTTATAAGATCCGAATAAAAAAAATTAGGTACAGGGAATTGAGAGTTATAATTGTTTTATTTTACCGAAAATCAAATTGTTCTGATCTTGAGCCAAAAAGAATAATTTGTCTAATTTATAATAATTTATAATTCAGATAGTGACAAGAATTGTTCAACTTAGAGGCGGCCGCTCTCCCAGACAGGCGCGATCGAAGTGCCAAGCATGCACACGGAGCCCTGCTACCCCCCCCCTTTGGACCGGTGGGGGTTATCCCGGTCCCCACTCTGATGGCTCCCAAACCCCATCGGGGTGCCGCAGCAGAGCCACAAGCACCCGTGAACAATACGAAACAACACCTAAGATGGCGGACAACATGCGTCCCCGGACTCCTGGAGGGGAGATGCCTGATACATACCGGTGCCTATAGGCAATCTTTGACGCCTTCTGGAGGAAGCTGGAGTGCAGGCTGACACCCACTGAGACCACCGAGGCACCTCCTGAACCATCCCGCTACTCCCTGAAGCGCCCTGCTGCGCACACCACCAATCGGAGTCGGTGACGACTGCCTAAGCAGCGCAAGACGGTAAAATTAGCCGGCCTGCACACCCTGAAGCCCTATAACCCCAGCACCAAGCACAAGAAACGCACGGGGTCAGAGAGGAGAATAGAACACGACTGCTGCACGAAAATATGCAGGGGTCTCACCCGGCTGAGAGCCCGCAAAGCCAAGCACTCTGGGACACTCAATTCCCTACAAGGGGGATAGGATGACCACCAGAATGGGCCTCTGACCCCCAGCGTCTACCCAGAATGGGGAAACCGAGCTGCATTACACTTCTTGCTTGCCATATTTGTGTCCCTCACCTCACACTCTATTTACTGCGACAGGTCCAGAGGGTAATATAATCTGCTGCCATTTCTATAGGGTGATATTCAGGATGTTGGGGCTCTCTGGGGTGGTATACTCTACTGTATCCATTACCTTACTATGACTATCTACAACTAGCATCTATCTCAGTGATGGCGAACCTATGGCACGCGTGCCACAGGTGGCACGCCGAGCCCCCTCTGTGGGCACGCGGCCATAGGTTCGCCGGAGGGAGGGAGGGAGCACTCCGCCGGCGCATCCATAAGGCGGCACAAGGGGCCGCCTTAGGGCGCACCGGCCCGGCGGACGCAAAGCCGGAGTGACTGGCAGGAGGTGAGCGCATAGCGCTCCCTCCTGCCAGGCACTCTGTCTAGTGTGGCCGAGCGCGCCGCGGTACAGGAACTTATGTTTCCTGTACCCGGGCAGACGGAAATGAAGTGCTCACAGAGAGAGCACTTCCTGTCCGGCTGGGTACAGGAAACTGAGCTCCGTGGTGCGCTCGGCCACGCTACAAAGTAGGAGCTCAAGGACAAGTGGGGGAATTAAAACCAAGGGAGGGATGGAGGGGGAAACCGAGGGAGGCATGGGGAGAAACTGAGGGAGGTGGGGGGAGAAACTGAGGGAGGTGGGGGAGAAAACTGAGGGAGGTATGGGGAAGACAACTGAGGGAGGTATGGGGGGAAGACAACTGAGGTATGGAGGGAACTGAGGGAGGTATGGGGGGGAACTGAGGAGAGATGGAGGGGGGAAACTGAGGGAGAGATGGGGAAACTGAGGGAGAGATGGGGAAACTGAGGGAGAGATGGGGGAACTGAGGGAGAGATGGGGGGGAAACTGAGGGAGAGATGGGGGGGAAACTGAGGGAGAGATGGGGGGAACTGAGGGAGAGATGGGGGGAACTGAGGGAGAGATGGGGGGAGAAAACTGAGTGTGGGATGGGAGAAAAAAAATGAGGGAGGGATGGGGGGAAAGAAAACAGTGTGGGGGGGAGAAGGGGGACGACATACACACAGCACCCCTGCCCTACACATATCACCCCACACAAAGACACACACACACACATCACCCCACACACACACACACCATCCCCCACACACACCACCCCCCACACAAACATCACCCCACACACATCAACCCACCCACACATCACGCCACACACACACACCACCCCACATCACCCCACACACACATAACCCCACACACAGACCTATTGATTGATTGTCGATGTCTTGGAATTGTAGCGTGGAATTGAGGTAGTGTATCTAGAAGGAAGCATTGGGGTTCTTGAGGAAGCTGAATGGATGGGAGCTTGCTGATGAGGTTGTGCACTTTCGCCCAAAAAGTTCTGAGGAAAATGCAATCCCAGAAGATATGGGTCAAGGATCCTGTGACGAGACCAATCTCGCCACATTGCATTGGAGAAGCCTGGTTGCTCGCCTGCTGCCTTTGGACTATGGCCCCCTGTTAAAAGACATCTTTTTTTACCTGCAGAAAAGCTTCATTCGTGCTTTTCTGCCTGGGGTTCGGTAGATTTGTTTGAATGTGTTATACCACAGATAGGAATCCCATGGAGCCCATTCGTATGAAACTGACTGTAAAGACTTTGGCTCCATGGCGATTAAACTGTATTCGTGTGGTCTGAGCGCCATTCGCTTAATAATGTGCGCTCAGACCTGAGCTATCTGGGGATATGTTACATGTCTGTGTTTTATGTAATAAATGTTACTTCATGTATTTTAAAGTATAATACTGGTTTTGTGTCCCCACATGTGTAATGGAGTTTTGCCTTTGTCTTGGGAGATAATTGAGTTACTTCTCAATTATCTCCCAGGGCAGAGGGGAGGAAGCCAGGATGCATTGTGGGAATATACTGTGACTGTGTGTCCTATTTGTCTGCTTGTCTGTCCCTTGTCACAGTCTCCCATTTGGTCCCCTAGGGGAGTGTCCACCAGGTGGGAGACCTGCATAAATACTGGGCAGGTAGCCCTCATTAAACAGACCACTGCTTGACCCTCAACACGGAGCCTTGTCTCGTTCTTGGGGGGATTCACTGTATGCTGTTAGAGACTGATTGCCAGGAGTGTAAGCTGATTGTCTGCTTTTCCTGTTCGTCTGCTAGCAGCTATTTGGGAGGTTCCAGTTCGGGAGTTGGAGTGCTATTTTGTATCCAGTTCGGGAGTTTGGTGTTCTGCAGTAGCTGTGCCTGTATCTCTGGAAAGGGGGCCGATCGCCTAAATGGTTTTTACCCCTTGTGTGCAAAACGGTCCGTTACAGATCCTTTAGCGGTTCGACATCTCCAGCATAGGTCTGAAGAGTTAGAATATATATGGGCTAGATGCACCAGTGTCAGGTAGCAACAGAACCATAGTTAGTTTGCAATTTGTTTCCTAATGATTCACGCATTTGGATACCCCTTTGATAGCCGCTAACATTCTTTTCCATTATTCTAAAAGGAACACTCTTTGGAAGTTGGTTTCCAATTGTTTTATAAAAGGTGTTTTTTTTGCTTTATTCGGATATAGGTAACAATGTCTTTTGGAGGGGTTCATATTAATATGTTAGGTCCATGAAAGCTATTACTAAATTACCCTGGGCAATGTTTCTTATATAGCTGATACCTGCCTTTACCCAGTTCAAAGGTCCACATCAGGTGTATGGAGTTGTAGAGATGGAAGAGGAGGAAAATATTTCCAGTGCCAATCGTGTTGTAGATAGTGCAGAGCTCAACAGGTGGGTGAGGTGGGATGGCGTCCATAGTATTTGCTTTAGTGTGTACTGGTGTACATAGGCTTGTTCTATTGATAGACAGTTCAATGCAATAAAGCAAAAAAGGAGGGAAGCACAACCACTATTATGTGCACAAAGTGCTACCACACATTTATTGAAGGAACAGTTTAATAGACAAATGTTTCGGATACAACCCTTTATCAATGCATCTTGTCCTACAGGATGTTAAACTTCATTGCTCTTTTAATAAACACACATATAAACATGCCATGACACATGCACACACCCTGACACACATACACACACACCCTGACACACATACACATAACCTGACACACACACCCTGACACATACACACACATACCCTGACACACACACACACACCTCATAATTTTTTTTATATTTGCAGCCATCCTCATCTGAGCATACCTTTTGTGTGCAGGAGAGTAGCTTGCTTGGGATCCTGCTGCTGGCTCTCTCTTTTATTCTCCCAACTCCTTTGCCTCCTCTCAGTCCCACGTGGGCTCCCACCTGGGAAGAAGTGATCTGCTCTAACTTCCTCCTAGTTCTGCCAATATTTCTCTGGGGTCATTGAAAGGGCCATGGCAATAATACTCATCAGGTGGCCCTAACTGTATGGGTTACCCGATGCCCCCCCTGACCTCGAGGGCCCCGGAGCTGTAGTTCCACCACTGGCCTAACCTAGCACATGCTCTTTTGGCTGAATAGGCACAAATTCTCACAGACAATCCCAAATAAAAAAATGTAAAGTGCATGTGTCATTATTTTAACAATTCACACAGCAGAAATTAACTAAATCACATTTATGACGTATTACACATATCTGGCGTATTACATATATTATATTGAATAGATAGTTCCTATCTTCTGCTAAGGATAATCACATGGTAAAGTATGCATGCTCAGGGAGGGGTTTTTATTTTATTGACAAGGAGTTGTGCTATAATAACACAGCATGTGTTTCTGTGCTTTAACAGTGAGTGACTAATATGAGAGTGGTTGGATACTTTGCGAGCAGATGTTGTTGGGTCAGTAAAAATGTTAACAAACTTGAGCAAAATTTATACTTCCAGAGTATTGACAGTCCTCCTTTAAAAGCAGTAATATGCTTCTTGTAATATGTGACCTGTAGCTGCCCATGGTAGATAAATCAGGGCTTTCACTCTGTAAAGGGCCTTGACCAATCTTTTTCATGATGGGGATAATACTTCATAAATCTGCATAATTATCAGGAAACGCAAAATACTTTGACCTCTTGGAACAGTCAAGATTAATTTGTGTCTCAAATGGAATAAGGAAATACATAATTGAAAAGAAAATGTTAAAGTTAATTTATTATCTGCAAACTACAGATTATATGTCTGCCGTTAATTACATTTATCTACCTTATCATAGAGAGTTTTTTACTTCTTTTTCTTGGGTACAAGCATTTAAGGAGTTGCATACCGTTTAAAAAAAAATAAAAATTGTTGCACAGAATTGACATTTGGCATTCCGGAACAGAGTTTCAGATTTCCAAAGTCACGTGTGCTGCCACCCTGGACCGGGCTGCTGTAGTTATAGCTCTCTCTTCTGTGGTTATAGCTCCTCCCCTCCAATTTTTTTTCTACTTTTTTCACACCCATAAAAACATAAGCCTTTAGGATTATGCTTGGATTTAAAATGGCTAGGTACACTGTGGTTTTCAAATCCTTTCTGTGTATTACGGATGTGCTCTCCAATCCTAACATGCAATGGTCTTGTGGTGTTATACTGTCCTACGCTATTTCTTTGCTTTACATGCGCCCTATAGGAACAGACAACTACAACCTATAGTGGTGGGTCACCCAAACGGACCCGGAGGCTATCCATAGTGGAGCTAGGTTTATTAGCTCCTAGTTTGTGTTTCTTACATATATATAGCTTCACTTTTACTATGTTGTATTATTAATACTTCTAGGCACTCTGAGTATTGTAAAATCAAAAGTACCTGAATTTTTATTTAAGGTAAATACTATTGTTCTATAAGCGCTACACTATTCATTTCATCTACTTACTTGTTGGTGTTATTTTGGAAAAGTTGTACACTCTGGTGTTTAGCTATTTTTTATACCTTTCCCAGAAAATTCCATTTACTTAATGTAATATTTTTTTGAAAAGTGCTAATTCCTACCATCTTCTCTATTCCACAGGAATAAAATCAGTTGTACTGCCAGAACTTTGTGTCGTCCAGTTGCTGGGGAGAAGGTGGGCTATTTACTTGGTATTTTCTTGTTCCTGAGTCTACTCTTGGTGATCCAGTGGAGTAAAGTCCCTGCCAGGATTAGGGCTCTGCTACATTGGTTGGCAGCGTCGGGATCCAGAGCTTACGGTGGAACAAAAGCCACAGTCGATGAATAGCAGTACCAGATGGACCGTGGATGGAGATTGACTACACCGTCCTGAAACAGTCCACGCTAAAGGACCTCCTAGAGGCAAGAGGGATAACGGCAAGTAATAAGAAGGACACCCTCATTGCTGAACTGATGGCGGATTACCTAACGGAAGGCACTTCGGATCAGCGCGAACAAGAAAGAAACATTTCAAAAGGAATTACAATTTTGTTTGTATTTCTATGGCGAAAAAACCCGTCGACAGAGATTCTTGCATGAACCATGACGGAAGTCCAGTAGTTCGTGCTGAAAAGGAGCGAACGACATATTCCCGAAAGGACACCGACAGTAACTATAGTGCTAGAGGGTAAGCCCAAAACACCTTACGAAGCATTTAAAAACTTTGTGGAAGTGGAAGAGGATATTGATGTCTTCCTCCAAGACTTCGAAAGACAATGTACATTGCATAAGATCAGTCTGGAAGACTGGATCCCACTTCTGGCTAGAACAGTCCCAAATGAGGAAATTCGGGACTAATTTCGGTTCAAAGCCATTATATTAGCCAGGTATGCCATTACTCTGGAGGCATACCGCAGGCGGTTCAGAGAACTTAGGAAAGCGGAGAAAGACTCTCATGCAGAGTGGGCATGCTGGCTACACAGAGCCACCCTGGGATGGGTACAAGCCCACCAAGTAAGCACAATGGAGGAACTCCTACAGCTAGTACTATTGGATCAGTTTTTTAATGGGCTGGCTCCAGAGATCCAGGAGTGGGTAAAGGATCACAACCTACCACCACAGAAGCAGCGAGGCGGGCAGACGAATATCTAGATGCCTGCCAACAGCAAAGACCAGTTCAGCCAAGGGTCTTTACTGGACCAGCATTACCCCCTCTGGGACCAGTGGCACAACACTGAAAACCAGGTACCTTCCAACAGCAGAGCCAGGTACAGTACCATCTGTGTAAAAAGAATGGGCACATGTGAAGGGACTGCCCCCAGAACAGGGACTGGGCACAATGGATCTGTACAGAATCCCCTCCTGCAACCAGAGCAGTCGCCCACTATTACCACACGGAGGCCCCCCACATGTTATGTCACTCCAGGACCGAGGAGAACTGGGAAGTCCTGCATGAAGCAGACCTGGTGCAAGCAGCACCACTGACAGACAGTGCAGTTACAGGGCAAGATGGTCCAAGGTCTCCGTGACACGGGAACCACCCTAACCCTAGTCAAGCGGCACCTGATTCCTGAAGCAGCGCAAACAGGGAATTTTGTGGCAGTTTGCATAGCAGGGGGAGCTGTGTGTCGGTTGCCCACTCCCCTGCATTGGGGAGCGGGGTCTAGAATGGTGGAGGTTGGGCTGATGTAGGAGCTATCTGCAGAGGTGTTGTTGGGGAACAATCTGAGAAAGCCCCCAATGCAAGCCTTTTGAGACCCCAATGCAGCCGGAGGAACTATACCCGGTGGTCACCAGGCCCGCACCATGGACCATAGCTCACACCCGGAGGCTCAGGTAAGAGACC